CGAGATACCTCATGTTGTGTTGTAGCGACCAGGTGGCAGTAGAGTGATGTCTATCCACAGTGCTTTCCCTTTATAGGTTGGCTGCCAGCCGCTGATGAAAGGTCACGGGCACTGGTCAGTGATCGGGAGTTTCCGCTACTGCAGGCTGGACTCGTGCCACCATATGTAAGTGTTCGTGTGTGTGTTGTGTGTGTGTGTGTGTGTGTGTGTGTGTGTGTGTGTGTGTGTGTGTGGTGTGTGTGTGTGTGTGTTGTGTGGTGTGTGTGTGTGTGTGGTTGGTGGTGTGTGTTTGTTTGTGAATACGTATAGATAAACGGTAGAAATATAAAGAGGTACGACCACTCTTCTTCAAATCATATTTTCTTTACCATCTATGGACCTTTACCGATACATTTCTCGTGACATGCTAACATCTGGCTTTATGTGTAAGTGAACACGAAACATAATGGGCGCCTCAATTGCTCTCTAGCAGTTGCACGAGTATCCGGCAGTGGCCGTGGTTCCGTGTTAACCTATCATGTCACCAGACCAGCCGGTGGTAGCGGGAGCACGATCAGTGAAGCAATGCTTGTGACCTTCATCAGCGGCCCGCGGCCGATCTATAAAAGCCGAGGCACTGTGGATGCATGTACCAGTTCCACTGCACCCTCAGCCACCAAGATAACATGCAGGTACTCATTCACGAATAATACTGGTGGCTTAGATGTCATATGTTAGAGATTTTCCGAGAAGTGCATCGTGGCGGGAGCGTTGATAAACAGTGTTGCATTACAAACACGCTAACGAGATGCATGGCAAAATAGTAAAGATGCCAGAATGCAGGGCCTATTGTTTTTATAATAGCACATCCCTTGTGGCATTCCAGGGTTTCGTCATTGCCGCCGTGCTGGCTGTTGCTGCCGCCGCCCCGGCACCGGCGACGCGGGCTACAAGCCCTCCGGCCCCCTACCACCCCCCCGTCCTACAAGTCGGCCTCTTACCACCCGGAGCCCCAGTACAAGGAGGTGGCCCAGCCGTTCGCTTATGACTATGCCGTCAATGACCACTACACCGGCACCAACTTCGCCAAGAATGAGGAGAGCGATGGCCACAACACCCAGGGATATTACTCGGTGGCTCTGCCCGACGGCCGTGTCCAGCACGTCAAGTACGTCGTCGACAACTACGGAGGCTACAACGCTGAGGTCACCTACGAGGGCGAGGCCCAGTACCCCGAGTACCATCCCGCCCCTGCTTACAAGGCTGCTGCCCCGGCCTACAAGCCTGTTCACAAGTCTGCTTACAGCTCTCCCTCCCCAGCATACAAGGCTGCGGCGTACTAGTCAAATACTGAGAACGACCTTCTGTTGAAACTCATGAATGTTGTGCTATGATGCTCTTTGCCCTGTTTTATTTCAATAAAATGAGCTGCTCAGACTGTGTGGTTTTAACACATCAGCCACTTCTTCCGGGGCTGAACATCCGAATGTCTTCATGGGCTCTGGGTAAACCTTTGTTTATGGACATTTAAAGAAGCCCTATATTCGTTGTTATGGACCCATACCCGCTTGCAAATTCATCTGCATGCCGATACTTGGTGCAAGTCATCAAACCCCTTTCGGCGTAGTCATCTCTGTTTTGGGTAGCCATTCGCTGTACCGTATGCTTTTTTCGGTGCCAGGAGGTGAGCATGCGCATTCCTGGAATGTTCTTATAGCCGGGCAATGCCCGTGGTGATTGACCATCGTGGTAAGAAATGTTCTGTACTAACACTCGGTGCGGGTCATCAAACCCTCCCGCCTTGACGCCTGTTTCCTAGCCCTTAGTGCAGAACAGTGCAGCGGGTGTTAAAATTTGAGATCACTGGTGACTGGTCATTTTTGACATCTTTTAGTAACATTGCTTGCACGAGTCCGCAACAAGGTGAGATTCTCGTGCATTAGTTTTCAAGGGTGCGCTTTTGTTTTCTTTGTTTTTTATTGTTTGTCGCTGCTTTTGCTCAGCACGTTACTCGTGATCAAGTTGGCAGCTTAGAGTATCGAATCTGTCATTGCAACCAATGTTTCGTAAGACTGCACTGTTACCCTTATTCATGGTAGAATAGCCAGGAGAAAGGAGAGATATGCTTTTTTAAGACGCTAGCAAAACAGCGAGAACACAAATCACCAACATTCTGAGGATTGAATAGGCTGAACTGACAGCCATAAATACCATGTGGCGTCTATCCAACTAAAGACAAAAATACGCCAAAAAATGGTGCGCATGCAAATGAATGAAGTAAACGATCACCACACATCACGCATCATTCATTCATGCATGCATTCATTTCGGCGACCATTCTCAATCACACTCAGGCTGAAACCCAAGGGGTATGGACAATATACCTCTTTTAAATATCAAAGTCCTCTAGGAAGCACAGGGCTATCCAGACAGCAAAATAAGTAGATAGATTCTTGCAGAAAATCAGTGACGAAGTCCTAACATACAGGGCTGCTATGACCAATTATGCGAATGTAATCAGTGCCTTCAGGCGTGATGCGTGCTAGCTTTAAGTCCCTAGTATGTGTGAGCGGTCTGATGTGTGATGCTTGTAACCTATTCACTTGAATTCGTTCGCATGCATCAGTCATGCGTGATGCGTGATGCCTGTTTGCTTGAATTCGTTTGCGTGTGCGGATTTTTTTCGCGCATTTTAATCCGAAGCTGGATATACACTGCATCGTGATAGTGGTTCGCAATGCTCCTTATCCTGAAGGTTGGTGAATTGTAAAAAATATGACTCGCTGTTTAAAAATGAACAAACAAGTGAAATCGGCATGTAATTTTGAATTAAGTACTCATATTGTGTCAATAAACGCATGTATCTGACACGTCAATGCATCTTTATCACCTTTCTCCTGGTTGCTCCACGTATAATAAGGCTGATGGTACTGTCTTATCTACGTGCAAAATGCTCCTCGCAAATGCACGTAGCAAGTTACGCAATCAATGCCTGGCAGAACAAGTCGTTTAGCCAGCACAGTCTGATTTATTAAAGCGGGTGTTCCACCTTTATTTCTGGTCTTAGCTGTAATAACTGTTTTGAAGATTATTCCTTTCAGTTCACCGGCCTGACCATCTTAACACCTAAAGCCCTCTGGTTTCGGAGCTATACGCCCGCGAAGATATACAGACTTTTTCGTGCAGACAATTTCAAGGCCATTCAGGCATGCATGACGTCACAAAAGGGTCATTCAAATCCTGCCGCTCCACAGG